TTTTCCCCTTCAATGGATTTTGTATTCAAATGTTTTTAATGAAATTTTTCATGCACTGTTGCTCGGCTACCTTTATCTCAACAAAGAATATTCCTTCTTTTCACTATAGTGCCAATATTGAACATCCAAATATGTAGGAAATCGAAACATACATACACACTCTCAATATCTATTGTGAAATGCTCCCTGAGGACATGTAACTATCTGACCTGACTAAAAGCGAAGCGATATATTTTTATGGTGTATATCTACACACCTAATCGCATAGAAGTGAATATGCGCCTCGAGCGTTTCAGTTTTGCGCTCATGCTGCCGATGTGTCGATAATTTCCCTATTGAATGTTATTTTTAGATTCTGTCACAATGTCTACATCAACTTATGTCTGCCGGCCATGTCAATATAAAATCTTTACTGAAAATTGAGGTTGTTTATTCGTCGTGTGCCATTTAATTTCTGCTGTATTCAGAAACGTGATAACCTGCTTATTATTTGTCGATTTGATGTGCAGTAAGAATATAATTTTTGCCAAATAACCTGTAGCACTACAATTGCATAATTAATTTTTGTTGATTAAGCGTATCATAAGCAGGGGTTGGAACGCATTACAAATATGGGTCTGGTTCTGTTTAGCATAATTTAAATTAATGTTTATAATAGGTTCATGGCCTTCTGAAGGAATTTCTTGAAACAAATAAAGATCTGGCTGTCAAGTGTCATATTAAGTATTAATTTGAATATTGTTGCTTTGGCTTCACAGAAAATAAATCTCTTAAGCTCCTTTAACTGTTACCGGTACTATATCAACTTTTTCTCAAGTCATAAATGACGGTAATTCGCTCCATTAGTATGACGTAGTAGATACCAGCTGTGTTGGTGTAGGTCAAGGTGCTTTATCTAAACAAACCGCGCTTCTGTGTAAAATTCATATGCTTGTATTGTTTTTGCTTAATATAAATTAAATTAGAAAGAAAAGGACTATAAAAAGTAAGTATTTTCAATTTACTGGTGAACTGGAACTTACTATGCCAATTTGGTTTATGATTTCTCACAATTATTAACTTTATATCAAAAATAAAGTTTTATAACCTAAAAATTATTGTTATGAATGGTAGTTTTGTAGGTGTGTAGTACCTGCTTGGGATACAGAATGGTTTTATGTTGGGCACCTGGTTGTAAACATTACAACGTACGGGAAACCTACAAGTTTTACAAGTTCCCTGCTAGCGGAAAAGAAAGACTTCGTTGGAAGAAGTTAGTGAGGCAAGTTTTTCTTATTGCTAATGAAACTTGGCAACTACAATTTGATTAACAACTTTAACATGAAGCTGTTTATAGGCGAGATGTTGAACCTGGCCCCGGTGCATACTTATGTAGTTGCCATTTTGTAGACGGTAAACGAGAATCGGGACCCGTACTGTTTGCTCATAACAAAGACAAAAGGTTTACGTTTACCAGTCCAAAGAAGAAAAAAATTAAGTTAGACATAAGTGATCCTATAGCGCAGAGCAGGTAAAGGGATATCTTTTATAAGTGAAATCTATTATTTTGTTTGCAGTAGTTGCGTACCAGAACAAGAACCGGACCAAGAAATTCCATGTCACAGTGCAGAAGTGGAGATTGTTAGTATCTCTAGAGACAATCCTCAACCTGGTCCTTCATACGCTACAGACGTTCAGATTGGCAGTGATCCGCAGCCTGGTCCGTCACCTCTTTCCCAAATCTCTACTGCTATAATCTATGGTGAAAGTTATTTTTTAGAAAAGGACTTGGAAGACTTAAAACAAAAATATAATGCTCGACAATTCACATATGACAGCATATGTAACAACAACGAATTAGTCTCCATGTACACTGGATTGCCAAATAATAGTGT